TAGTGTCCACAAGACACGAAACACACAGTCACAATCCACACTAAACACTAAGCGCAGAATGACTCCGATAAATTCTTAGGCTTTTTAATCCTTTACGCGACGCACTTGCCACAGGATAACGGATACGAACTGATTGACCGAACATACAATGTATCGCGATATACTATCCACGCGACGTTCCGCGACACGTAACACGCGACGGTTCCTTCACGACTGCTCTAAGATGATTCCAAACAAAATACTATCGATGCCTAAACGCAGTGTCGGATCACAAAAAGAAATAATGTATGATTTCAATAATTTACATTTTACATTTTTAGTTTTCCCAACACAGATTTTTACATTCTATTAATTTCCCTGTTCATTTCTCAAACATGCGTTTTAAAATAATAATGTAAAATAAATATCAAATGATCGCGACATGTTACGCATTAATAGCGTAGGCGTATTTCACATTACACTCCTGCGGGAACCGTGCGTTCTTTTGTTAACTTCCCAACAATCAGTTCTTAGCCGATATCCTGTGGCAAGTGCGTCGCGTAAAGGATTAAAAAGCTTAAGAATTTATCGGAGTCATTCTGCGCTTAGTGTTTAGTGTGGATTGTGAGTGTGTGTCGTGTCTTGTGGACACTACGGACGGGATAATTTCGGTGCATGTGTACTTGTGTGGATATTTCATTTCGGTGCGTAGAAAAAAGGCATTCACCCTCCTGACTCGAAAATCCCATAGAGCGAGTTTCGATACGCTCTTGCGGATTAAGCGAGTGATTAGGTTGAATACCAGGATACATCGCATTAAAATAATTTCCCATCTCCAGCACCCGAGGTAAGCCCACAAATTTCTTATAGGTACGGTCCTACTTTCGGTTATCGACATGCATCGATCGGCGGTGATCAGCTGAGCGTATGCCGAAAACGTCCGTCGATGCAAGTCAGATTGCCAATTTTAGGGGCAAAAACATCGAATTTTTAAATGTTAATAACTAATTAACGAAGCCCTGAACGCAATTTTTTCTCTCTTGATTTTCGACTTATTTTCGACCAAAGAACACGTCCTTAAAATATTGCCCACTAGTAGGTTTACACCCTGTATTACAATTCAAAAATTTCACGCTTTCATTGCGGCTACTTGCGCGGTAGAAAATTTGTCCAAATATTAACTCGGCAGTACTTGACAAATTGACAATACTTGTCATACATCATATTGTATAGAGTGAACGCCAGACGGAGCCACTTATCGGTAACATCGTAAATGATGAGGAGGGGATATTCCCCCACCCAGGCCCATACCCCTACCATCATTATATGAATGATGCGAAGTTAGTTGCATGTAGTATTCAACAAGAATCGAAGCGAAAACGCGCGTTTTAACTAGTTAAGCAAAATGGAATGGACGATAGGAATCCGTGTGCATTATTCCCTTCTATTTAAGTTCGTTTCGTCGCGTAAAAATGTGAATTCATTGTTCACTTTTAGTTCATTAAGTCCGTCGATACTGAATGTTATGTTTTGTGTTTATTAAGTGAGTGGGTGAAGTTTCCAGGAACTTTACAATGGATTACAAGGAGCACGAGAACTGGTTATCTCAATGGGTCTTAACCGGCAGGACAAGAAATGTAAGTACATACAGTCTAAAATACATGTATTTTTTATTTTCAATGTCGCATAACATTCTTTAACATCGATCATAATTTACATTTACATTTATAACATATCGATCACATTTAAAAACGATAAGTAGCATGTGTTAAAATTTCATTTCTCAAAACTGCACGGAGGTATATTGAACATTCGACAATCTGGAACCGTGGCTTCCATTAATGTTAATCTATTCCGCATCATAGAGGAATCGGTTGTCTTTGCAATTGTTAAAATTAAATGAAATAAAAACAATAATAAAATATATTTTAAGTCTGATAAATATATATTTATATACGATCTGGAAGTCTTTGGCGATTAAGTAAAAAATATTTGTAGTACGGGTTAAAAAGTATTGAAATTGTAATAAACATTGCACGAATGCAATAAGATAAAATTTTGAATATGAAACAATACTAATAATTATTGTTCATATTTAATAAGTATCATTACTCGCATAGTATCGACTTTAAGGTTTGCAAAGTTTCGGCATTTCGATACGCGATCAAACCATTGCTGTTCGAAAAATTGGTAGACGTGGACAAGTATTTTATATCCTTATGATCAGAACCCGAGTCGTTTATAAAACTTCGGAATTCAATAATACCGCCGTCCAGGGAACATAAAACAGCTTGTGGTCCACAAGTATCCCATTTGTATGTGGAACCCCTCGATAAAATATAGGCATCAACTTCTCCAAGAGCGACGCTTAATATTTTATATCCAGCTCCAGCTGCTTCCACTAAAGTGAAACCAGCTTTCAAAAGCTTAGACTTCACATTCTCGTCTTCGACTCTGCTAAGGACAATGATTTTCTTATCGTCAGATTCTTTAGCAATAGAACATCTTCCAATATCATTTTCCAAAAATCCCCAGTAGCATTTGCCTTTCCATCTATTAGATCAATGTAGACATTCATTAGATAACAATTCGACATAAACAAATTATGTATAGGATGTATTCTCTTTACCGCAAATCCACGTTTGTATGAAAAGGTTGATTAACTACTCCCAAAATCGGTTTACCAGTGGTTTTTGAATACACTCCGATTAAAACAGTGACGCATCGTAAACCGCTCATATGCACGCCAGTAGCATCATCTATTTTTTCATTTCCATTTATATAATCTGCAGTTGAATCTAGAAAAGTCCCACGAATTGTCCCTCAGATATGAAACTACAAAACAAATCAAACATTTTACAATCTGTATAATTATAAACTAGACAGAATGTTATTAAAAGAAATGCGCAAAAGTCGTAGGGAGTAAATAGCATAAAATAAAAAGCAATTATTCAATATAAGAAAAATCATGATAGGAAAAATAATATTAAATTTCAAATAATAAGAAATTAAATACATGAAAACAAAGATATTTACCATATGAATTTCCCAGACATCGTTTCAATAGTAATAAGAGCATTAATATTATAGTGTATCATATCTGCCATGTGCATAGTAATTTTTGTTTTAAAACATATAACATTATGTACGGTGTTAGATTTCTTACCAATTGGATCTATCCATATACCGAGGTCATTAATGTCAACATCGAAATCAAAAGGCAGCTCTGCCACTATTGGAATGTCTAAGAATTGGATATCTTTGTGAACTTCTGCTGCCAGCAATTCTGCAGTCGCAATATTGCTGTCCATCACTTTGGCTAATAATTGAGCAGTTTCCTCAATGGTGGGACATACTTGAACCACTATTGTCTCACCCACAACATTGCTGAAAGTATTGTCCTCTTCGCCTTGTACTACCTTGGCCAATTCTGGAAACTAATTCTCTATAAGTGAGATTAAATTTATAATTTTCATACGGTAAGGGACGGAGATTTGGAAAATCCGAATTGAAACATTTATTGTATTCTGACTAGCTTATCGTTAAGGAATTAGTATTTTTAGTTGACTTACCTCTAAACCTATGTCATGCTTAATTGTTTCTTGTATAAGAACATCTGCCAGAGTTTTAAAATCTTGGAAGAATCGTGGATTCTTTTCTTCCTCTGATTTCTCCTGTACGAGCAATTTGAATAAGGCATTGTTTTGCCTGCAGGCTCTCGCGATATTAGCAGCTTTTTCCGAGACTTTCAAAAGGATTGACAGCAGTCTGCTTCCGTCCTTCATCGCAGCGATTAATGCCGTATCAAATTCCGATAGCTGCTAGAACATCGATCAAAATTAGTGGCACGTTCGAAAACTAACTAATATTTAATGAAATGACTTAGGCGGTTAAGAAACGCACTTACTTACGTTAAACTGGACATATTAAAAAACGGTTGGGTGGGACTGGGAATCCGTGTAAATTCTATTACACAATTATGGAATATTGATTTAGCTTAGCAGTCTCTCGCGCGCGGGACGTAAACGTGCATGCAAAATGCGTGTCCCCGTGATCCGAACTCAGGATACCTGAATAGTAAAATAATCATTCATGCATTATAATCTACGAATGACGCAAGCAAACATTCCCATTTTAGATCCTACTTGGATCGTACATATTAAATATTAAAGTATTCCCGTGTACTTCAATAAATTTTACATAAATTGCTTATATTTAATGGCGTATTGATACTAAAAAGAATGTTTAAATAATTTGCGGCCAATTTGACCAGAATTGGTTAAACACCTGATTAATTTGAATAGGAGACATACGAAAGTAGGATATAAATAAATTAAATATATTAGGAAAAAGTGCATAGTAAAAAATCTCTCATTTTTTCATTTTGAATACGATATTTATTCACCCCACTTTTCTTAACCTGAGAATCACTCCGACAAACAGTATTCCCACCTAAAAATAAGCAAATTTCTGTCTTTTATAGATACAGGATTCTGTTTATGTTTAAGCGAGTCATGCAGTAGATCGAATTATTCAATACAGTGCACACCGTGAGATTACTATTTGAAATAATCACCGGTTATCTTTTCTGATGTAGAATAGAATAACCTTTATTTCGTTATAGTGGAAGGAGAAGCAATACAAATGATTTCAATATAATTTATTATAATAACAAGTTTATAAACGATTACAGTTTATTCTATAAAAGACTGCTTAGAAATATTTACAAAAGTAAGAATGACAGCGATACTAGGTGCTGGAATAGCAGGTCTATCGGCTGCATATTATGCTCTTCAAAACCCAAAAGTGGGCCCACTTGTTCTATTAGAAGCGTCAAATCGTGTAGGCGGTTGGATACGTTCCATAAAACAAGCCGATGGAACAGTTTTTGAGAAAGGTCCCAGAGTTATGAGGATTCTATATACCTCAGATAGCGCACTCAATTCACTGAGTTTAATTGAAGAATTAGGATTGTCCTCTAAATTTATTCCTATCAAAATGAGCCATCCCAGTGTTCAAAATCGCTATATTTATGCAGATAACGCTATACATCTCGTTCCTAGTAGTTTAAAAGGATTATTGACAAAGAATTCATTATTGAATCGTCCACTAAGTAGTCTTATAGTGAATGATTTTAAAGCTGAAAGAGTTTCTAAGGACGATGAGAGTATACACAGTTTCATAGAGAGAAGATTTGGCAAAGATGTAGCTGAGAAACTAGCTGCTCCAGTATTGTGTGGCATTTCTGGCGGTGATGTACACGAATTAAGCGCAAAGTCTTTTATGCCAAAGATATTCAAGGTTGAACAGGAACATGGTTCCGTATTTCTGGGTCTTGTCAAGCAAAAATATTCAGATTACAAAAAACGAAAAGCAGAAGCTAAACATGTTCAGAATTCGCGTAAGACGTATGGGAACATAATAGAAAGAAGTAAAAGAGAAGGATGGTGTAGATGGGGACTAGAAGGAGGTTTAGAACAATTGCCTCAAGCATTGGCTGAGAACATATCTAAACGCGGAGTAAATATGAAATTGGAACATAACTGTGAAAAGATGGTATTTAATAAAGACTCTGTAGAATTAACTGTGAATGGTAAAGTCGAGAAGTATTCTCGAGTTATATCGAGCTTGCCTGCCAGAAACTTAGGTGATTTAGTGAAAGAGCAACACCCAGAATTATCTAAAGAATTGCACAGTATACCTACTGTAACAATAGCTGTTGTTAATCTTCAATATCCGACAAATGTCTTACCCTTAAATGGATTTGGAGTTCTCGTTGCGCCAAAGGAAAAGATCCCAATTTTGGGTGTGATATTTGACTCGTGCGTCTTTCCTCAAAACTCGAATATGACAGTACGTACAAACATAAATATTTATTAGCTAGTTTTCCAAATACAATTTTAGCTCTTTTTGTACTAACTTAATTTGTTCTAAATTAAGAAATGTATGGCCGTACAATGACGCAAAACGACTTGCAGTCTCTGAACGATCATTTACAAATATAAAAATGGACTAGAAATACTTGGATATATATACAATGCTTTTTTAAATCCAGGTACTGACAGTAATGATGGGTGGAGCATGGTTCGAAAAATACTTCGGTCAATGTTCATCCGACGAACAATTAAAGACTGTAGCGATCAAATACTTGAATGAAATTTTGCGCATTAACGACGATCCCAAGGCATATAACGTTTCCATTCTGAAGAACTGTATTCCACAATACGTAGTAGGTCACGAGCAACGCTTAAAATGCATCCACGATTATATCTCCACGCATAAAATTCCTTTAGGGCTGTGTGGCTCTTCGTATCACGGTATAGCAGTCTCTGATGTTATTCTGTCAGCAAAAGAGGCTATTTCTAATATCGATTAAAGTATGCGATAATTCTGTGAAACTGAAATTCCGCTCTGCTAGCCAGATACTGAACGATTCGTCGATTTAAGGACGAATTAGTACACATGCATGAAACAATATGACAAAAAACTTAATACGCCAAAAATTGTTTTTAAAAATGTAAACTGTAATATAATTAGATTGAAATTACATGCATGATCCATGCAGAATAAAACTTCAAAGAAAAATGCATATAAAAAATAATTGAAGAACGTATTGCAATTTAAAAATTGCATACTTAAGATAATTATTCCAAGTTAGCATTTTTTATATATGTAACTAATTCAATTGTATTTCAAATTATCTTATAATATAATTTGTGAGAGTCGAAATAAAATATATGTACAGATATATTTTTTATTCTTTACACGTCACAATTATAAAATGAAATAAAAAATATATAAACAGGATATAAACTTGTATTCTGTATTTATGTACATAAACATGATACTACAAATTGTCACAAAACAAAAAACAGCATTCATTAAATAATTCTGCGGTATAATACGTATTGCTACTTAAAAAACCACAAAAGTATAGACATGTTCACAGAATAAAATATTTATGTTACGTGTATATAATTTCCTAATAAAATAGAGAAGCAAGCATGAAGTATTCATTAAAATGCAGCAAGCACGTGGCATTCCATACTTGTAAATAAAACATGATTAGACAACTACTGCAACGCTGTACTTATTCATAATGACAGTACTGCGTAATTTCGAAGATAAACACAGTTCTAAAATTTCTGCTTAGTTATAAAAGTGGTTCTTCTTTTTAAGAAGAAAGCTTGCAAAAATGAATGAAACAATTAATGCAGATCTTAAAAAAAACTAATAAATTCAAGCAAAATAAAACTCCTGTTGTATATGTTCGAACATTGACAGAATGTCAAGTGAAATTTACTGATTGACGGTACCTGCATATTTAACTTCATCAAATGCTTTTCTAGCTTTCTTTAATTCTTCATTCATTGTTAGGAGGTCTTTCACTCTTGCATATTTCCTTGGATCCTTTCGAACTATGAAAGAAAACATTTAGCAGATTAGATTTTCTGGAGTCATTTAGTATTATTTATTCAATGTTACATCGAATATTGTTACCTAGAAATACAATATCTTCTACTTGAACACGGCCAGTACGGCCGATTTCCATAGCCCTGTGTGTCATTTCCGTGATGAATTCGATGACGAGATCTTCTAACAAATCCACGCTCTCTGTATAAGGATTTTGATCGTCCCCGAAACCGTACATCATGCAGCGTAATTCCTTCGAAAACAACCTCTTCCTACCACCGGGCAAAGTTCCACCGATCGGGATTTCTGCCTCCTCATCTTCGAACTATGATAATTACAAAATTTCGCATATAATAATCTAAACATTCATCTAAATAAATATATTTAGAGGAGATACAATTATGTTCTGAAAATTGATCCTCGCATCGAACTAATCTAATTCCGAATAAAATGTCATAAAAACCTGTTCAAAAGTTTCCTCCGTTGTCATGATTCGATATAATTCGACGAAATGTTAAGACAATTTATGTATAAAGAAGGATATCTCATTTAATAAACGAGTATAAACAAACACGCTGTTATGTGAAACTGCACCGATTCAATAGCGCTTCCAAACGAAACTAGTTTCTCGAAACTGTCTAACCACGCAAAGGGAACGACCGAAAGTGAGAACGAACAGTTGTGATAAAATGGAAATTTGTTAACAAATTTTTAAAGACGAGTTCACAGAAGTCAAGCAATGTCTCCGGTAATTCCTACCCCGAAAACTTGGAAAGAAACGAATCGTTTGCACAAAGAACAACGTAAAAAGTGGCGTGAGGAAAGGTTAGCAAAGAAGTTTCAGAAAGAGGAGGTCAAGAAAGAATTGCAGAAAGAATTGGAGAAACCCGTTGAGGTACACTTCGAGAAGAAGGATGTTTCGACTGTGAGCATCGCGGTTCCTGGTTCGATCTTGGACAATGCTCAGTCCCCGGAATTGCGAACGTATCTGGCAGGGCAGATAGCACGTGCAGCGTGTGTTTATAAAGTAGACGAGATCGTAGTTTTCGATGATAAAGGAGAGGTAATAGAGAGTGATAAGAAGAAAGTAAGAACCGACGATTTATTAGGCGAAAGGCGAATCGGGTGTTTGCAGCTGGCTAGAATATTGCAGTATCTTGAGTGTCCGCAATATTTACGAAAATACTTCTTTCCTATTCATAAAGATTTACAATATGCTGGAGTATTAAATCCTTTGGATGCACCACATCACTTACGTCAACAGGACGTGTCTTTGTACAGAGAAGGAGTCATTACCAATAAGCCTGTTAAAGCTGCCAAAGGTTCTCACGTGAACGTTGGATTGTTGAACGATGTTCGTGTGGATAAAGTGTTAACCACTGGAATAAGAGTCACAGTGAAGATACCTGAAGGTCAATCAAATTCCAAGAAACTGAAAGGATTCATTGTACCACCAGATGTTCCCAGATCAAACACTGGTATATACTGGGGGTATTCTGTAAGACTGGCTGATAATCTTACAGAAGTATTAACGCAATGCCCATACAAGGATGGATATGATATGACTATTGGTACTTCGGATAAAGGAAGGTCCATTGACGATGTGGAGCCTAAAAGTATTGAATATCATCATGCTTTGATAGTATTCGGAGGATTGTGTGGACTGGAAGCAGCAGTGGACAGTGATTCCAATTTGGATGTGGATGATCCTTCTTTGGTATTTGATAAATATTTAAATACCTGTCCCCAACAAGGATCAAGGACTATTAGAACAGAGGAAGCTATTCTAATTACTTTGGCAGAATTAAGAACAAAATTGTCTCCAAAAATTACTCCATTACCAAACTCACAGTTTAACAGTTTTGTAAGCAATTAAGCTATCAGTGTTTTCAAGTAAATGTAAGTAAATTACACAAAAATTAGAAAAACCTTTATTTCTCTTTTTTTACAAATGATTTTGTAACAAACTAGAACCTGTACAATATACCAATCCCAGAAGATGTTTCTCCCTTCTATTTTTAACTATCTTGTAATACACAGTTTACAGTATTTCTTAAAGTGTTGATAACTTTTGCTTGATCGGGGGAACCTATAACAGCTGTCCCAGAAACTATCATATTTGCACCAGCCTATAAAAAGTACATGCTTTAAAGCTGTTGTCTCATCGAAACATGGAATTCAAATTTAAATATTTACTTTTGCACATGCTTCGATAGTTGTTAATCCAACTCCTCCATCTACTTCTATGTCCAATGTTGGATAATTTTTTCTGAGCCATGCTACCTTGTCCATCATTGAATACATGAATTGTTGACCACCAAAGCCTGGTTCCACAGTCATGATCAATACCATATCCGCTAAATCAACATATTCCACAACTACATCCACTGGGGTTCCTGGCTTAAGTGCTACTCCAACCTTCCATTTAAGAGAGATCAGTCCAGATTAAATTTTTAATCCAATTATATGTATTATATAAATATCCATACCTTCATTCCTGCTTCCTTTACTTTCCTACAAACCAATGGAACATCTTTCACTGGCTCAACATGAAATGTATACTGATTAACACCAGCATCTGCCATAGGTTCTATCCACTAGTTAAAAATTTCAAACAAAAATTTATTTACGTAAATACACGTGCTCATTGTAAAGTACTTCGTTCTCAACTATTTGACATATAAACGTGGAGGAAGAAAATTAAAGTGAAGCCATACCTGATCGGGATTAGAGACCATCATGTGCGTTTCTAAAAAGGCATCTTTTACTTTGCTTCGAAGACACTTTACTAACGGGTGACCGAAAGTAAGGTTAGGCACAAAGTGTCCATCCATAACATCTAAATGCAAGTAATCGGCACCGTTGTCAATTAATCGTTGCGATTCCTCCGAAAGCTGCGATAAATCAGCGTTCAAAATTGACGGTCCTATTTTTGCCGTTAGCTGCATTGCCATTTTTACAATTGTAAAATACTACGAGCACGCGACGCGTATTTCCAGCAAAAATGATAAAGCGTTATCGAACGAATAGACTAATGATCTCCTTCACAAGGTCATCGCTTCTTAAGCACGCTGTCGCACTTAAGTTAGTTTCTGAGATGCTGATCGCTGGGATGAAATGAATACCATACAAAATTTACAAACACCGTACGAAATGAAATACATTTATTTATCCACAAAAATATAGCAGCTCAAAATAGATAATGTTATCATAAACTTAGAAACAAAGGGGACACAAGATGAGTCGAAGAAATTAAATGATAGTGATTAATACGTCAGTAGTAAGTCATAAGCATAAGAAGACTCGGAAGCCAGAGGAACGATGGTGCTCCTCTCCTATCAGGCTAATCATTAAGATCTTGCAACTATTTTCAATAATACGAAATATTCTCCGTGACGTGTATCCGGCATTTAAATGCCTCCCGTCCACATACACAATAAATAAATAATTCGTTTAAACTAAATAAAAAAATCTCGTTCGTGAGATGCTAAAATACATAAGACATAATACAATTAAATATAAAAATAGCTGAAAATCGCTATTTCGATATTACTAAAAACCATTATCATGATCGCAAATACGAAACTCTTTGGCACCTTAAAATCCTTTACAAAAGTTTAAGTAAAATAATGGCTGCGTTCCATTAATGATAGCTGAACGAACGTTGACAACGCATTGTCTTCGGTACCGAAATATATTTCTATTACTATCTTATAGTTAAAAGAATTAAACTACCATTCAAATGTCAGCGAACCGAGTCCGGACTTAGCGCAAGGAGACTGTCGCGTGTCGTATAATGATAGAATAGAGATCAATCGTGGTGGTTGTGCTTCGACGATTCTTCTTTAGTTGACCCTTCGGTTCACTTGCTTTTCGGGCTGTAAAATAGAATGCATATTTTATTTAGAGATTCTCCGCTCGTTTCAAGACGAATATCATCCTTTACACTTACACGTAACGGGTAAACGAACGTGCTGACTACTTGTTGGCGATTTCCTGATTTGGCTTCGCAAGTATAGCTACCCATGTCCTCCCATAGAAGTTCTTCTATTAATAGATCGCCGTTGTCTAACACTCGGTGCCGTAAATTAGTTGTCGGATTTAGAGGTACGCCGTAGATATCCATCCAAGTAATTTGCGGTGTCGGCTTGCCACTTGTTCTGCAGGGCAGCACCACGCTCGATCCTATGTTTGCCACCATCGTAGGCGAATAAAGGGTGATCGTTGGATCGCTTTCAGAACTGCAATTACCGCTACCAGCTTCGCCTGGAATAAAAAAAAGAACGTTGAACAAGAAATCTTCCACCCAATGTCTGGTTCCTAGTTTTCGTCACATTGTTGCAATTTTAACGAACGGTGGATCAATAATCTGCAAATATAGATACGCTCTACTGAAAGAAGGCGGTTCGGGTTCGGAACTTTTTCCTTTTTTTAAGGGGAGCAATGTAAAGCGAATATCGAATTCAACAGTTAAAATAACTAATAGAAATGAGTTACCCGTTTTTATCAATCAATCGTTACGCTCGACGTACGAATAAATTGTGAAAGGCAAGAGAGTTTGCGTGGCAGTCGGTCAAACCTTCATGCTAATGTAGTTCCAGCTGATTGCCAGTTAATTGTTAATTGTATTCCACTTACTGTTAACCAGCAGCACCGTAGGAGTAGAGATCTTCACCTCTCTCGCCGAAACCGACGCACAGTAGATCAATCCAGCATCATCCGGAGTAACGCATTCTATCACGAGCTTCGAATTAATTTTGGCCACTCCTTTCCACTCCTCGGATGGATCGAACAAGGACAGTGTGCTGGCTTTCACGTACTCGAGCAGCTGCGCAAAAAAAGTTAGCAGATAGATTACTCCTTCTATCAATCATATAATATAACGTGGAATCATATCCGATATTCACTTCATCATTGCTGCCGCTGCCGGTGAACCAGAATACTTCCGGCGGCGGACTTCCGCTGGCTTTACATTCTAATTCCACCCTGCTCCTATAAAAGAAAACCAAAACAAGAGTCGAAAGGATAATTATTATATTTTTACTTCCAGTTCTTTTTATGCACGGTGTAATTACCCTGCGGTTGTTTCAATGCCCTTCACCGGATGCTGAGTGATTTTGGTCCACGGTTCCACGGGCTGAAAGTTTCAAATTCATAATAAATATTTTTCTTCCAAATCCGAATGACGTTTGAGAATTCATATTTCTCGTTACCCTTGATTGGAAAGCTTGTTCTTTATATTCCGACCATGGCGTTAGGAAATTCGAATTCTGCTCGACCATTTGTCTGCCTATGTTCCTGCGTTCGGCGGCTCGGTCAACCGCGTGGCGTGGCAGGAACGAAAAGGGGTGCCCCGAGACCGTATATAATACGGTCATGACGCAGACTAGATCGATCAGCATCGAACACGCTCGCATCTGAAATCACGGGACGAAATTATGAATGAGAAATAAGAGAAAGACATCATTGATCGTTATTAAATTCGTTTCACGGGCTAACAACGTTACGTCAAAGAAACCGATTTGACGCGCGAAGGGGCACGTATTGTGCAATGATTAGAGGTTCGAAAAAAGCACTGACGTCATCGGCGATCTCTTCGCAGAAATCGAACCCCGTTGAATGTATATATGTACGAATTTGAACTGGTTGTGTTAGGTGCGAGATTTATAATATCGATTTATTCGACCTTCCTCGAGGATACGAATAAACGCAATTGGCAACAATGAAATTAAATTCTTGAGAGCGTGACGATAATTAAATACATCTCTTGTAATAACGCGGCGGGCACATGCTTACAATTCCTCCTCTCATCTCTTAGCTATTCACTGAGCCCGTTCGCCATTAATTTCGTAATACATCATTTCACCCGGGAACGATTATAGCGCGACTCGATCCTTACGTTTTGCCGCATTTCTTTTGTATCCTATCCACGCACCGGCACGGTTCTCTCGCATGACGCACGTTACGGAGAACTCTTTCAATGTCGCCCGGCGACGAACGGAAGGAATTTTCCAAGAACCGATCGATCCTGGGACGGGTGCGCTCGAAATTATACGTGGAGATAATCGATTTCGAAAGTGGCCCGAGAACAATTTTGAAACCGATCGGGCGCGACCGTGTCGAAACCCATGAGGAAACGCAGCGGCAGGTCTTTCGGCCCGGCGGTATATTGCATCGGCCGCATGGCCTGTTTGTTAACGTGGGCATCGAAATCACCAAATTAGAGAAAGAGAAATTTCTTATCTATCGTGCATGCATTATCGTCGCGTGAAACCTCGTACGCTTTTAACGACAACGCCCCCGATATCTAGGCTTGCTTGCACGGTTTCTCGAATACCATTTCGCTTCCTTTACGTTCTAATCTCCGACTGAGAGCTCCTTCAGCTTGGACACTGTCATACGAGGACTTTTCGGAACGCGTCTACGTGCTGACCGCGTCGTTCACCGTGTCTCTCGGTTGTTTCCCCTACCGTGCCGGTCGCCGTCTCCTCTAAGCCAAGTTCACAAACGAAATTTAGACACGCTTTTACCACATCAATTTTATCTTTGCCGTATACTCGTCTCCCTTTTCTCCCCTTTTTCTTCTTGCCGTGGGACGCCGTCGTCGGAGAGGCCTCGGGAGAGAGGAAGAAGGAAGGTCACGCGTACCGTTTGAAAGAGATTAAGTAACTCGGCTGTTAACGAGGCAAGATGCGTGTTCGGAAACGAATTCGCGCGAGCGTTAATGAACACACATGCGGTGCAAAAAAATAAGGGAGAATCTGGGAGACGATACGATGCCTCGTGGTGTGCGTGGCTTCTTTTTGCTGCAAAACGGTTGCATGCAACATGTCCGGAGGAGAGTTAAAAGTTGGGCTGAAACTTCCGAGATATCGTCGCGTAATGAGCCGAATAATTTCTCCGATGCTCCAATAAATTCTGCGATCTACAACCGGTCGTTCAATCGACCGAATTTACTTATCGTCAAATTAATTAATTGCCTTTATCAGAAAATATTACGAGTATCGTATGAGTCAATAATGAGAAGATATAATTATATAATATTATCTAAACTCTTTATTGCATGATACTGTATAGCTATTACGTGATATTTTTTATTAAAAAAAGGTATCATAAATTATATTTTATTATTATAGCAGGGATAATAGTCTTCAGATCGAATGCGGATTTACGTGTCCAATACGTGGCTAGGAATGTTATAATTTCCTTTCACTTAATACAATTTAACATAGCAGCGGCTGGACGTAAGTAATTAACACGAACGACGCACTGCTCGGTCCTAATTTTCTTATACTAAGAAAGGATTAGTCACAATCTGCATTAACGCGTTCCACGATTGGGAATTACTATCTAACGTTGTTGGAATGTAATCGTGTACTGATATGGCTTGTACAACAGGTGGATGATGTTACCACGGAACAATATTAAAACATCCATCGCCTGAATGAAATTGTAATGAAAATCATTGAAGAAGTTGTTTAATTCGATTTTGGAACCAGGCGAATTGGACAGTCCGAAAATCGTGAAAAGTTTCTTACAATTTTACCCGTTAAAATACATGCAACTAAAAATAGAACGTAGTTCTCCGAACATTACCTACTTTCGAAGAACTAAAGAATACAGAATTTATACTAAAAATATCATTTTTCAATTTGTACGTGTAAAAGATCACGTATCTCGTAGATTCTTCTATTTATTCATAGAGATTTAGATTTTATCTATCTTCGTTAACTTCTCATTTCTTCTCGGCTAACGAGAATCAGTACGCACGTGAACGCGTTTTAAGTTAGACAATTTTTTTTCGTATTTCCACATGCGTGCTGTTCCGTTCTCGTCGTAAAAGCGTGTATGAAATGCGGTCTTACCTTGATAAAGTTTGTTTTAATCACGACGGGTAATTGTCACAGGTGGATAACGTTCGCAGAAATATCGAGTCCGCTAATAGTATGAGATAGAACTTTCGATAGAGATACTCGCGCCGGAGATGCTTTCTAGGAGCGCACATCACGGGAGGAGGTTTCGAACCGAATGATGCAACTTCTTATACAATCTTACTTCGCATCTTCCCTATGATCTCGCGCCCTCTTTCCGCGGAGCCCTTTAACGCGTCATAATCTAGAGACGATGATATCAGACAGACCATAAAACGCGATAAGGAAATCGCCGGTATCAAACGAGAAAGGCGAAACGTGTCTAAAAATTGTTCGCTCTTACTTTACAATTTTTTTTCTACTTTCTCATCGTGCGCATGGACGAAATAAAAAAAAAATAATGTTGATTTCACGTTTATGCGATTAGATTTTATACTAGAATTGTCCAAAAACTGAGTGAAAGGAATTTGCTATTCGGTTGGAATGAAGAAAAAAAGGAGAGGAAAGAGAGAGATGAATTGACACTTCTGACTCTCATTGGCTGGCGGCTAGGTAACGGCGTGAGCCAGCAAGAAAGAGGGTAAAAAAAGCGGCCGGAATTCAGGATCCTTGTTGAAAAATCGGACTTACCGTTTCTTCTTTTTTTCTTCTTACTGTTTCACGAAACCGGGAGATGATAGCTGAAGCGTTTACTATTTAGGTAATCTTCAGTTTGGCAGCGACGAATAAAAATTACTGACTGAGCGTCCGGGAACAGTTATTGACACATTTATATATTTCGAATGCGGCGACCGGCACTCCCGCTCTCACTCCCTATTGGACGGCATGGTGAGGAGTAGGGCAGTAAAAAGCACACACCAAACAATTGAATTCATTATCCGCGTATCTCGTTTGTACGGTACACGGTAACAGATCGTACCCAATTTACTTCCACCCTCATCTATGCCCGTCATCGATTTCTACTTCGAAAGTAGTCGGGATAATTATTTTTATTGAGCCTGATCGTACCAGGAAGGAGACGGTCGCAATTACCCCCGACCAGCAGCATCTCGGTCGGATCCAGCTGGTGTTTCGACCGTCGAAACCTCTCGTACGGGCCACCCCCCAATTTATCGGAGTTGTACCGTGAACCGTGTGAACCAGCCAATGATCAACGTATATAATAATCGGATGGTACCCGATAAATTGAAAGGATATCGTTACTAATTGATCGTTTTCAATTGAGGACTATGCCAATAATTTATATGGTCTGCAGATACCAAAACTAATAAGCTCCCTTTTCAACCCACCAACTGACTTTTGAACTTCTATTAAAACGATATTCACTCGAATTATTTTATATCCTTTTAATTGCTATCAGCAGACTGCAGGACATCTATTAATTCCCTTTTGTAATTTATGTCATTATAATTAAATGTCTCTTAAACTCTCAACGTAATTCATTACGCACGGTTTTATCCGTGACTTCATAGATACGATTTGAACATTTTTATCATTCATTTTGACATATCATGCCACTTTACTAAAAATATAATTCATGCATTCATCGAATATAATATCAAATATTAAACCTTATTCTTTTATTACAATTTTTTTTTAGTAGAAAAAATCTTTTGTGAAACGACTTATTCATATTTAACGTGTATCAGATTATTCTCAATTGAGTACAGATTTGCTATCAATTTTCATTCATTATTTTCATCAGTGCGCATTCGTTCGATTTGATTGCCTACTGTGATAATCTGAAATCGCGAATCACAATCGGCGGATGTTTTATCGTTAGGAATAATCGAGGAAAGTGGCACTCTCATTACCCGATTGTATTATAGGCTCTATTAAAAAATAATGCAGCGACTGGCATACTGTAAAAATACTCGTTAATTGCGAATACAAATGATAATAATTGAAGGTTATCAGAATTTCGAAAAAAAGTGGGAAATCTAGGTGAAAGCAAGTGTTACAAGCGCGTGTTATACTTCTGTAACAAACTTTATTTAGGTGAAGAATACAAAATAATAATACTCCCGGTTGAATGTAATAACGCGATCAATTAGTCTTCATTAGGCTTTGGCTTTAATTTAATTGCATTGAGCAGTTTGGCCGTAGTCATAATTTCTCCGTCCATATCCTTCAGATTATTGTCGACGTCAACTACGTTCTTCACTATATTTTGCAAAGTCTGTAATTCGACAGTTAATGATAAATTTCACTTGCACTCATAGACATAACCTACCATTCGTATGTTTTGGTAAAGTAACGTTGTGTTCTCTTCTTGATATTCGAACGGAGATTCATAAAAGGACGCCGAAGACGTTGACATTTTTTCGGAGTCCATGTTCAATACGATATTTTTTATTGCTACTTTAAATTATAGATTTACTCCCGCTTTTTTCTTGACTGACCCATTAAATTAAATGCAAGTGGAAACAAATGTGTACACTGGGTATGTCGCCCCACCATGGTCGTTATCAACATTTTCTGACCAATCACAGTATTGGCTCACGCGCATATCGTACATGTTCAGCTGATGACTGGACTAACGACGCGCTTTCATTCTCCGTACTCTGTTCTGTTAACTCTGTTTTTGAGGTTATCCCATGACATTTTCATATATGAAACTATTGTACAGAACAGATTTCTATATTATTCTATAAAATATTTTACACCGCTACATTATTTGATATGATTTTCGAAATGTCTTGATAATACGTAAGATGTCATCTTTCGCAGAGACATGTTTCAGTAAAATTGCAATTACAAGTAAGTACTATTGGTACTGCAGTGTCTTTAAACGACTTTAAACAATTCATTGCAATGGAAGCACAAACAGATACTTCTGTTTTGCGACCGCCAGTTAATGTAAGAACTGTGAATACTGGCAATATTTTTTATACCCCTTTAACTTCATTCGCTGGTACGTATATATACATAGAAAAACTATTTCTTACGTCCTGTGGCCAACTAAATATATTGATACCTATAATTTTACAGAAATGTGGTATCAGATTTTTCTATGGGCTCTATTTTCTTCTATTTTTGTTCATACTATAGCTGGCGCTATGTGTTTTGCTACATTAAGGCAACACAAGTATGGAAAGTACGTATATTGCATTGTTTTAATAATATGGATCAATTTTAGTATATACAGACATATTTATATAAATAGAATATACAAGACAACTAGAAGACTAAAAGCTAAATATAAGCAGCAGTAGACTTTATATATGTTTTGTACAGCTTCTTGTATCATAGAATAACTGAGTAAATTTTGATTTGAAGATTCTTCCCATTGCTGATTATAATAATGGGTGTGTTATTGCCACTGACATCTGGAGTTCTTAGCTCTGCCGCTGTTGCTTTTGTATATAGAGCATCTCGATATCCGATGTCACCATTGTATGCTTTACTGTGGGGTATCGGTCAAACTGTTGTAGCAGGATGTGTTGGGTTTACAAGAATTTTAGCAACTTTATAATCCGAGTCGAAGTTTGCAAATGAATGATGTACATATATGATGTGGTACAAAATAAGTTGTTATCAAGGTATATATAAGCATGTATTATATTAATGAGTGAAGATTAATGAACATTTTTAGAAACACGAACGAACAGTATTTTACTTTGCATTAGTAATGACAAATGTTGTTAGTAATAGATAATAAAATAAGACAATTTGTATATATATATATATATACACCAATGTATGATACTGTACAAATGTAATGAAACATTGGATTTTAATAATTATAAAATTTTCAAATCAGAATGTTATTTATGAAAAATAGTGGTTCAGTTTGTTTGAGAGAAGAAATGCTTTTGTCTTTTAAGATAGTTTATTGCAAAACATAGTATAAATCTTTTGAATAAATTTTAATAATGTTCCTCTTTATGTACAATTACGTGTATTTCTATTCTTGCGATTTTTCACTCTTCAATTGTTCTTTATAATTATTCGCGATATTTTTAATATCTAACAATCCAACTTCTAAAGCTTCTTGAATTTCGAGCTTTGTTTCTTCATCGGAACAAGTCAAACTTTTTAATACCATATCTGCAATATAAATATTGTGCAATTAATTATATATTAGCAATACAGATGTTAATCAAAGAGAACAGCATAGATTAGTAGTTTCATACCATGATATTTCGATAATGTCTCCATTGTTGGCGCTTGGACTTGCGTTCGAAGAAATGAAAGGACCATAGATACGTGTCTTCCCGACATATGTAGAACACTTTGCGTTGCTGTTGAGAACAATATGCTGGTAACTAAATGCAACGCCAGTGCAGGATCTTGAGTAGAATTAAGTTCTTCTAACAAGGCTTCTCTGTGACCCAAAATAAATGGCCTTTCTTTCTTCTTATCATATTTCCTTAGTACTAGACAACAAGTTGCCATTGCCGCGTCTACAAAATTCATGAAGTCGTCTACGGAGTTCCCAGCAATAGATTTATGTATATTGGATAAAGGCTCCTTCACGTCTTCTGGTACATCGAGCAACATTTTTTGCCTCGTTTCGGTGGTGATGTTCTCGGGGAATTGAAGCATATTCTGCAGTGCGGCTAACTTGAATAGTTCGTTCACAAAATCAGTACCAAGAGATTTTAACAAGTATTTCGTTAAAACTGGTTGATCTGCCTTGTCCATATGCTTGATTCCTTTGTCAAATATCTTAATATTGGTTAGCAACATATTTAAACGTTCTTCAACTTCACTCAGATTAGTAGTCTTATTATTTTGCGCTAATTGATCTGCGATTGATATAGCATAGGCATTCACTTTTTGTTCTAAGTACAATGCCAGTTCCTCTATTAATTCGTCAATTATCGATAAATTATCATCTTTTGCAATTTCATTTTTTATATCTTCCAATGATACTAATTTTAATTCAATTTTCGTTGGCGCGATTTTCATATTCTCATCATCTGAATCGTCGCGAATTTTTCCTTGTAGATATTTCTTTTTAGTAGATTTCGTTTTCGTCTCTCTTCCTTGACTCCCGCCACCGGCTTTACCACTTGTTGCCTTCTTTCGACGTTCGTCTTTTCTGCTGTTCTTGCTCTCGAGTATTAAATCGGCTGATTTAGATTTAATTCTATTCTGCGCTATAGTTTGAAACCATTGTCCACTAGCCACTGCTTCCCTGGCCTTCGCCTCAGCAATTGCCTCAAACGATTTGTTTAAAGACTGCAAATATGCGTCGGACATCACCACAGTTTTTGCAAATACATGCGTGCTGTTATTTATCTTCTTCTCCGCAATTTTAAGAAGCATTTCCATGTCTTTGTCGGAGAATACAGATGGTAGAAGCGGGCTTATGTCGACAAACGATCCAGTTACTATAGCTTCTTCGATGTTTGAGTCTATCTGATCCCTAATACTTGTGCCCACGGCAACGGAATCAAGGAAGGCTATATCTTCGTTTGGAAAATGGCGCTTCACAAAATTCGGCGGATCTGATATCCCAAGACGAGTAAGGGCGTCGTATTCTAAAAAATCACATAAATTCACAATAGTATATTTGAAATTTATCTACTGTACTTTCTTATGCTGAAACAACCTACCTAAATAACCATTCTGTTTGTAAAAGTTATCCACCCATTCGTTCTGACTTTTAGAGTATATAGTCGGCACGTAAAGACAATTTGTCCCCTGTTTTCCTGCTACAATACCAGGAATTTGTCTCGTTTCTTGCAAGCTGTCCAGTATTGCTGCAAATTAGATGTATATATAAAATTCATATCATCAATAATTGAAGTCTGTACATGATTTATAAACTTACAAAAGAATATCCTTTCTGAAATAGAACATTGTCCTAAAATTGCAGACAATGGTGTGGGCTTCGTGATAGCAGATAAGGCGCCCCGTATCTTTGCTTTATTTCTCGCTATGAAGCTTTCTGTGTAAAACACCCTAGAGTTCTGAGTATCCTGTTTTCCACATATTATCTTTCCTAATTCTCTTTCAATTAAAGACTGCAAAAATTCAGCTGGCAAATCGTAATGTACAGTCAGTTCTGATACATTAATCAAACCATGTTGTGCCAGTTTGTCATTGATTTCTTCAGCTACTTTGTTTGTATAGGTTTTATCAATAAGTTGTCCAAGGATTATTTTTAATCCTTTGCTGTGCTTCTCTATGTCATTGGCTGCCTTAGATACTTGAGACAGGCTGACATTAAGAATTTGTGCCAATTCAACTAAATTGATTCTGCCACCATGTATGTACAATTCATCTTTAATCTCTTTTCCGAGATGCTGAGGTGTAACATACTCCTTGCCATCATTCGTAAATATTACATCTAATAATTTGTTTTCTATTAGCTTGGTTACAATTTCTATGCAGTTACGTTCTGACAGCCTGTGTTAAAAATTAAAAGGTGCATGATAATAATGATGACTTTAATCGATTTAATCATAATGTTAGGGCTTACAGAATAATAGTAGATCTAAGTGACAAATATTATTAATGTAATCATGGGTGTGGAATATAATTTGAGTTTATCTAATCTTAGAAAAATTGCAATTTCATTCAATGGTTTGCAAAATATGCTAATAGTGAACGTCATTAAAAGAACTGTTAAGAAATAATTCATATAGAAATATATCATACTTTTGTAACGTTGAACTGAGCTGCGCTTTCTGAAAGTCAGCAGCTAGCCTTTTGACTTCATCCCAGTCGACAGAACTCATTTTCAATTTCTACACTTATACCAGATTGTGGGAGTGAAACACTTGACACTGTTCGAAATTCATAAAGGTTAGGAATTGTTGCAATATTGCTACTGTACACGTCAAATTTCATGCTAACATCCACCTGTGAACGTGACATCTGGTGTTGTTAACGAAGAACATGCAAGATGCAACACGTGTTTAATAATTTTCAAAGGACACGTCAGGTATTCGAACAGATTTGTTATATTAATTATTTCTAATCGAAAAGACTTCATTCACGCGGATGAGAGTTAAAAACGTCTTCATTGAGAAGACGAAATACATGATGCATTTTTGTTCAGTGATCATTAGACAGAAATTTATCAATTATTGTTGCGAGCATAAGAATCTCCTATTTTCAATGAACACGTAACAGATTTTGTTGCTTATAAGCATATTTTATTTGTCAAATGTGTATAGAAAGTCGAAATACTTTTATTTCCTGACGATAGGCGGTATAGGAACTTCCTTTGAATATCATTGCTGAAGTGGTGGATATTTTGTTTATATTCGTTATATACTCGTTGTACGTATGGAAACAAAATGTGTGTTCTTCACAGAAATATCTAACAATTATAAGACGAACAATAATATGTAATATTTTCTATACGGCCATTTCTTTAAAGGCACAAATGTAACGTGAGATAACATATTATATAAGGTTAGAAGTGGTGCATGTCGTTTTATTAAGTTAGGTTTTGTGTTCGATCACGTGCCTAGATATACGATCATTTATTTAAAAACATGTGCGATTAACAATGGGCAGTCAACGTGTATTTATAATGATCTAATCTACTAATGATTTTTCATTACGTAGCTTGGTTAGTGGATCTGAACATGTGACAATCATTCGTCGAAATTTTCTATTAAGATTGATTAGTAATAATGACTGAATTAGTGTGGCCTCAATAAAAGTATTTCTTGTCATTATTAAGTACGTCGGACCATTCATACTTTTAATTTAACTGTCATTTTCATGTACCTAAACCTTCTGTGTCGCTATTTAATTGTTACATAAGATTTATTTCTTGATATATCAAAAAAATTACAAAATAGAAATTGAAAACTAAAGTAATTCATTAAAAAGTGTTAAGATGACATGTATGTGCAATTGCTTAGTCACAGAAACACAGAAGGTTTATCTCATAGATTTCTGTTAATGCGATAAGGAAATATTAACACTTGGAACTCTGTTTCATAATAATTTTATCATCATACGTAACAGGAAAGCTAAACATAATAATATTATGAATTGGTATAGGCATAATGATTTTTCGAATGCTGCAATGCTATTAAGCTCTAATAGTTGAATCAGTTAAATGTCAATAACAGAATGAAGTGTGATAATGCTTTACGTAAATTTAATACTAATACAATAGTTTGTAAGATAAAGTACGTATATAGAGTTCAAATAAGTGCATACATGGAAAGTTCTTATCAACATATTACATTAGTCTTAAGTCGTATTATAGAAACAAATTCATAAGGTATATAATATATTATTTTTCTAGCCATGTCCATATCATATGATTATTGTATATATTATCATATATAAAATTTATTATTACAGTTAAGTTATCATAAGAATGATTAAATTACAGATTTTATATTTAAATAAATTGTATTACGATTTTTATATAGTTTTATGACTTCTCATGCTCTGAACATGTATTATAAATCGAACTCGCCCCCTTCCTTTTAAGAATTCTGTTTTCCTTTATGAATTATTCATCGTGCACTTATCACAATAATTTGTAGTATTTTTTATTTATTTATTGAGGCCATTCGAATTTTTCTTTTCTTTTCTGCACTTATTTGTAATTGTGCATGGTTCAATGCATGAATTTTACGTATAGAGTATTTGAAAAGCACATTAAAAAATTTATGTACTATGTGCTCTACGCATTTCCCAGGACAGTTTTGTATTCACGTATCGAAGTGGGAACTACCAACTGATTAAAGATAGACTGTTTGCTATAATTTATTATGGACGAAGATAGTTGAATATAGTGACGCAGAAAGAATATCCTTTAGCGAGTAACTTGCGATTGTGGTAAAGCCGGACATATAATCTTCTCAGATATACTGATACGTATTATGTATGTATGTAGAACACACATATTCCTGTAGGATATAATTTAAACCGTACATGTGGTATATTATCGTAAGAAATCGTTTGCATTCTTGTGCTTTATCCGAAATAATTCCGTGTAGCCTCAACAGTTTTTATTTAATTTTATTTCACTATTACATTGCCAATTTTTTAATAACTATTGTATGTCAACAGCCTCGTTTAGAGCTGACACTTTAATTTGCTGATGCAATACGGAAACATGTTAAGCTGCTACTCGCTGGTATGTCCTCCTTAGTCTGGAATTCATTGCTACGTGTATTCTATTGAAAGTAGAAATTACAAATCGTTTGAAAAATAGTATAAATAAATAAGACTTCTTATAGATCTCAACTATTAAATTATGAATATTCTGTTAGCATTAATCTATTGCAATCATCATTTTACTTTTTACTCCTCTGTTTTGTTGAACTAATGAAATTGCTTCATAATTAAATATTGAACTAGTATTCGAAGTTTTATTTTCATCAATTTCGATGGAATGAATGGCGCCTAAAAACGGCAGTCGAGCTGCACCGGCGGCGGCGACGTTTAATAATTCCACCGTCTTGTCAACGTGCAAGGGCGTGGATCTCGATCAGCGATACGCGGAGTCTGTTTAGACAGCGGGAAATATCGGATCGGACACTCGCGTGTAGTGCAGGGAACGAGAAAATCATTTAGTAGTACATACGCCGAAGTCGCATGGTCGGCCGTGTATGTACGTACATAAACACGCATATGTTGTGCGTTAGTAGACAGATAATGTGTATAGCCGTGTACTCTCTTTCTTCTTCGCTTTCGCGTTCGCTCGCTCGTTACTACGCGCGTTAGTTCTCTCTTCTTAACGCGGAACTTTCGACCTCTCGTTCAGTCGCCGGCTAATAACGCTGATCACTTCAGTTTATGCCCGACCCTGTCGTCGGTCGGATCGGATCGTGGAGAGATCGTGAAGAGGAACCAGTAAACAGTCGCCGACGGGGAAGACGCGGCGGATACGCGTTTATTTGTGTCTTCGTCGTGGAGGACCTAACGAAACTGGTAAAAATTTCACTGCGAATCTTCTATCTGCTACTGTTATTTCTTCTTCTTGTTCCTCTTTCCTCGTTGTTCTTCCCGCCTGACGCTAGACCTCGTCTTTTCTATTCCGGTTCGCTTGTACTCGTGCTGCTTCTACGAAATTAAAGAATAGGAGAACACGGCGGCCGTGAACTCCCACGACGGAGGAGCTGCTCATTTTTCGGCGATGATTCACTTGGTCGAGTCAGTGGTCGCCTCCTCCACGCGACGAACTACGGTCGATAGTGTTGACAGAGACTAAACGCGAATAGATCGATTAGATTAACGCAAATCTCCACAGCGTTGTTAGAGGAAAACTAACTTTCATTTCAATCGTTAGACGATTTTTTATAATCGTTTTTCTTCTCGGTTTCAATTCTACGTGCTCTTTCTCTGCTTATCTACAAAGCCACGCACGTGTCACTCCGATATAGCGTTACGATAGCTCAGTAGTAGGCTCCTACGTGCACTGCCATTGCCACTATATTTTCATTACGGACATCTTTTTTGATTTTTTTTGTGGCTGTGCTAACTCGTCGACTGACGATCAACGTTTATGTTTATACCTTTGAATTCGTGACTGGCAATGACGTGATAGTTAATCATATGTCAGCAAATTGTATTGCATGCTCGATGTGATTTCAGCAATCCTGGTGTGTGATATAAAAAATAATCAATTATTNGTGAAGTATTGAGTTGTTTTAATTTTTATATTGCGATTTGAATAGATTTTGATTTAAATCAAATTAATCTCTCTTTAGCGTTATCATTGAACTTGTACCTCTCTCGTGGAGGTAAGAGGTCTGTTATCAATGATACTCCCGGCTCTCGGCATGCGACGTGTGAGAAGGTTAATCGGTGATTAATCGACTCGGGAGTCGAAGCATGATTTACCGACTTTGCTCGATCCACTCAATTCGAATACAGATTAATGTCAAGGTTAAAACGCGTAGATTTTAACAAATAATACAAATGTTTCGTTGATAAAGCGCGTTCCTAAAATAACTTCTATATCAGTTTAATTGAATTTCCCACTATTGCTCCAATTAAATATCGATGGTTATCATTTTACGTCCGGGATGAGATTGTAAAAACTGGCTCTCTCAAATTGTAAATATATTCTACGGAATTTGTTTCATTAATGAAATGAAAATGGTAATGAGGATAATTTCGTTTACTTTATGCAGGATGGGAGCGTCTTGCGACGTGCTTGTACGTGCTCGAAAATTTACCGAGTAGTTTCATAGTTGCAGATTTACATTCCAAGTTCCGCCAGTCAACACAAGAATAATCTTCTGAAATTTACTAATCCGGGTAACAAAACTCGGACGGTGTGAACGAGGAACGAACGTGGTTCGTTCTTCAGCCTCTTCAGCATCACGCTGCCGCCGGTTCATAATTAGAATTTATACACCGATTGTCTTACCCGCCCCGTTTGAAGAATTCTTCGTTTCTTCGTACGCAATCTTCTTCCCCTATCTTCCTCTTATGCATTCTTCATTGTGCTATCGTTACTCCGTCGCTTTTCTTCAAACTGAATCGACTATTTAATTTAAATTCATTCCGGATGTCCAACGCTTTGATCTTCCTTATCATCGCAAGTGGATTTAAATTCGATCATTTACAGCCCAGTCGAATCAACCGCCGGGGATAAATATAAATGAACGGAGTCCATGCTTGAACCGAGCGAAATTTGGTGGAAATTGAAGAAAAATATACAAGTCAATGAACCGTTTCGTTTGAATGCGAGTATAAAGGTGCGCGCTCGGCTTTTACGTTTCGAATTAATTGGGCGCGTGTAAACGCGCCACTTTTGATCATTACAAATTAGAATACAAATACAACCAGCTTTCGACCGTTGAATGTTCTTAGAAAGTGCTTTGACACTTCGTTATCACTCGCTGTACGTTGTCCACCGCGGTCCGACTCCTGCGTCGTTTGCCACGTTTTTAAGCCTGCTTTTAATTCTTCATTAATCATTACTGGTTCGCGGCGTGAGATAACGTGTGTACGCATCTGATATGTAAGGAAGACATCAAGGCAAATTGCATTCACATGCAGATTGGGAGTGATCATGCTCCATTAACCGTCACGCGAAACGTAATCGCGACTTTCTACCATTTCTCTGGACAAATATTTTAAAATCATCTTTTTTTTTTCCCCTTATCTTATTGTCCTACAATTCTTTCCGAACGCGAATCTATTTCCTGATGCAAACTACTGATAATGTTACTTTGGCTCACGTGGTTTTTATGTCATCGCGCTTATATTAGTATAGTACGAATGTGTGTATGCGAGCGCGTTTGATGCACATTTATCAACACGTGATAAGCCGTGCGAATTATTTAATACTCTGCATATGTGGCTTAAGATACAACATCATCGTTTCATTCTCTATCCTTCTCTGTTTTATGAAAAATGGACTGTACTTACTTGCAAAGTTATGACTGTCATACTGATAACAACATCAATTTTCAGTAATATGTCAAACAATCGGAGTACATCATTAATATCAGTTTAATAAATTTTTATTATTTAAAATCTGATTCGACATAGGATTTAATATTTAGCGAGGATATATTTCGCAGTCATGTAAGGCCAAAATAATCGAGGAAATATTTAAGATTAAATGCCATAACTTGCACGCGTCGACACGTGCTTTTGACGTAGTCTCTGGTAGCGAGGTGATAATTCAGCGACAACAAGAGTACTTTCATAATTAATTACGCGATTGTCAAGGTTCACTGCAAAACTCTGTATATCGTGAAATTCCAAAATTATTATCGCCGTGCATGCAAATTAATTTATTATCTTTGGGAAAAAAATGCTCTGGTAATTAAAATTATCTACGAGTTCCTAGATTGCGTTGAACAATAAGTAATAAATTATCTCGAATCAGATGAGAAGTCGTCTTCTGTTTTCTTTCAATCAAAAATCATTCTCTTCGTTAGGAGACGAGTCTTTCGCGTTTCATTTTCAATTCCATTAATTCCAATCAGATAAGAAGACATTTATTATTTTCTTTCAACGGGAATAATTCTTTTTTCCTCATTTCCGTAGAACATCGGCTGGAATCAATCGAAGGATGACGATCGCAGAGAACACAGAGTCGAAGCAGAGTCCGATGGGTGATGGCAATGAGGTGGCCGTCGATCGACGACGGTTGAACGAGGAGACGCAGGAGATCCAACGAACCGAGGAGAGTAGCACGAGCTCGAGCACGGAGGGTAACCCGTTGCTAGAAACCGGTGCCAGGAGCTCGTCGGTGAAAATCGATGTATCAGTCGCGAAGCCGAAGAAGTCAGATAAGGATGAGGAGGATCGGGTGAACGCAAGGAAGGACCCGGAAGTCGACGAACCTAACGCGATCGTACCGCCGGATGGCGGGCTCCGGGCATGGATGATAATGATAGGCAGTTTCATCATCAACGGTGTTCTCTTCAGCGTTATCAACACGTACTCGTTGATCTACCTCGAACTGCAGAAGAGGCTGCTGGAGTCTGGGGAAACGGCGGCCTCCTCCAAGGCGGGTGAGTTCACAGATTTTTCGATAATTGATGCTGAGATTGAGAGATAGACCGCATGATGTAGAAAGCTTTTAGTGTAGCATTGTCGTTATAGATTAGAAGTAGAAGAGTTATTAGGAAAATCCTTATAAATGTATATAATGCGCAGTTTTTAGGTATTAATAATTTAGCTATCAAAAAAGGATACAACTATTAGTTACTTTTTATCATTAAACTATTTCAAATATAGTTCAATAAATGTCTGTATAAATGTTGATTATATAGACAGGTAAAAATTGAAATATTTGTACCGAAACGAATCGTATCGTGATTTACATGTGGTTAAGAATTCGGATTAGATAAAACATTCGGACGTGTTCGTACTCAGATTATGAGAGAAGAAATGATAAACGAGTTGCAGCTGTTATTTTATCTGCTCAATTCTGTCGGTGTGTTATTTAAAAAAGGAAAGAGGTAATAGTTGCATAACTAAGGATATTCAAACAGTGACCGTCCTTCGACATGTCTCACTGTCTTCCTGATAAGGAATTTAATATATAATTTGAGATACATGTTACATACATGTGTGTATGTATGTACACTGACGTCCGTAAGTTCACGGAGTTATTTATTAATTGTGCAATTTAAATTCAAATAAAAAATGAAGTATATAATAATAATTCCAAACTTGAGAGAAGTGATATGAAGAATTCCTTCTTTTATAATAAGGAAAAATAGGAAAGAACTATTTTCACTGTTCTTATGCTAGTATATTTACGAATCGTTTTATTTGAATATGGAAATTGTCTCTGAAAGATTACCCTTCATTGATATGTACGTATCTATTTGTGACCGTATTACATTAGAATGGTCGAAACGATAAGATTATGTTTGGAATATCGTACCTAATTACGATTTGCAGAATAGATTTCAGAAACCAGGGGCGAAGGTTTACGTTGTTTATCCTAGAAAATGTTCAGCTGAATTTGTAATTGTTTTGAAGCAATATCGGTAATCGAGAGTTATCGCAATACAATTAAAGTATAATATATGTATAAGAGACATGTAGCTTGAGTAATTTATTTGAAAGTTCATACTGTTGCGAGAAAGCGTGTCTCTTCACCTCTACTGCAAACAATCCATATTTGTGTGAAGCAGTCGCTCAGTAGAAGCGATGAACCGTGCTATCTTATTATTTTTTGTATGCAATTTTTATAACGATAGTACGTAATCTAGTTTTACTGGCAGATCGTTGAACCGTCTAGGTTTCATTCATTTAACTTTTCTCCCTGCATTTCCACGTCGTTTCACCCTACTGAATAGAAAACAATCAATGTTTAAAAAGATCAACGAGACACGTGTTAAATACACCTACGTTTTACGCTTGATATGTTTAATCAGAAAATGAAGATATTAGAACTGAATTACGTTTGGTTGACATCACAAATTGAAGGCAAGGATAAAATCCAGCGTGGAGGATATAGTAACGATCGTGGTATCTCAAGCATGAGTTGATCAATGAACATTTTGATAAGAATGCGAACGACATATCGCATAATCTATTCGTTAATTTGTCCGTGACCTGAATTCGATGCTCAAAATTAATTATACGTAAGTCTAGTACACGCGTTGACGTATCCTAAGACTTAATCATTAGTTAAGCGAGACATAGTATAATTACTTTGGGCAGCGTATCAATTAAACGGATCGATCAGGCTAATCATTCACGGAGTCAATGCCCTGGACAACCTGGATCTGAATTAATCGACAATTACATGAACATTAATAGCAACGAGGGTCAAATAATATTAATCTAGGGGTAGTATACTATTTAAACTGGAACTAGATCTTTGCTTAAATAAAACGAACTCTGAACGGCCTTTTGCTCTTATTATCAGTACATTTACAATTATTATGCGTGTTCAATCTATGATTAATTGACATCATACCATTCAATTTGAATTCCGTATTATAGTACACCTTTTATGAAATCGATTCATCCCCTTTATTTCATTTTATACAATATCTGATAATATTTATTCGACGGAATTATTTGACTGATGGTGCATTTTGAATAAGGATTAATAGTACGTCAGGAGCAGGCAATATCAAGATCAAAGTGAACGGTTCGTTGAATATCGGTTGTATGATGGTACTTCTGTTATGTGAATTTTCATTGACCGAATATTTTGTTGCCGAACGTTCTGTTATCTGAATATTCTATTAAGCCCTTTTAGTAACTCCCCATACACCGTTTCTTTTCGACGTCACTCTTCGCAAATAAAGTTACACACGTATATTCAACGTATAGCGTGTGCAATATGCAGTACATGTGAATAAGGATGAAGGAATCATCAAAAAGATGAAAAGGTGTACAAAGAAATCTTGCGTTAAAAAGTACGTAGAGATAAAAGTTCCCGGGACAGTCGTATAATAATAGAAGTTTCACTGCGGTTCTACACAATGCCGGCAGTAGAGAATGGGCAAATATTCGCATAGACAGTAGAATCCTCAAAATTGGCTTTTGTCGAAATTGTCAGAATTTGGCGAAAGCATTCGTGCTTTTGTTTCAGCCTTAGTAGGGTCGTTAACCATCGGTACCACGTTCTTTTTATCGCCAATTTCTGGGATTCTCACCGATAAAATTGGGATTCAGATGACCACATTTTTGGGTGGTGCTCTTGCGTCCGGTGGTATGCTTCTCTCCTCGATATTTTCTAGCAAGGTAAATAACCGTTTTTTTTTTTTTAATTATTTTTATCAATTAACAAATTTGATTCCAATCATTATTTCTCTATTTGTAATGAATTTTGTCTTCTGTCCCTGTATTTTAATTTCTCTGTTCGTTGTGTGTGAATTAGTTGAACATCGGCGATCTTATAATTCAATTTTGCACGTTACATTCCCGGCGGATAATTCCCTTATTGTAATTAGTAACACAAGGTTAACGCGGCTAGAATAATGTCAAGCGATCGAAAGAACAAGCCTAAACAAAGTCGATGGGATTGTAACTACTGTTGTCGTAATTGCTTCGAGTTATTTCGTGCTTCAGGTATCGTTACTTTATCTGACATACGGCGTCATGTACGGGCTCGGCGCGAGCCTTGCCTACACACCGAGCCTGGCGATCCTGGGCCATTACTTTAAGAAATACTTAGGCCTGGTCAATGGGATCGTCACTGCTGGAAGCTCCATATTCACGATACTTATGCCGTATCTGATGGAAGTCATACTTCGATCTTTCGGCCTGGAGGGAACGCTTAGGTTTCTGGCTCTCCTGACTGCGACCGTTATGGCTTGCGCCATTCTCTTCAAGCCCATTCCTTGTAAGCCATACTCCTTTAATCTTTTTAATTGTTGGTATTGGATTTAAAGATCAAAATTGATTTGGCTAATGCTATTTCATCTTGGAGTATATTTTTAATAGATTATTTGATATCGAAGCGATTTGATTGTAACTCTTCTTTTATTATAATTGTTTTAGCAAACACGGCACCGCGAGATCAATTAAAATCCAAATCGACTTTTAAGTCTTGTGTAAAGCAAATGGTGAACGTTTCTATCTGGAGGAGAAAACGATACGTGGTGTGGGCCAGCTCCATCCCTCTCGCACTCTTCGGGTTAGTATAATCATCATTTCGTTTGTAACGCTAGCTGCGGTTTCAGTCACTCTTTTTTTTTTTATTCGATTGTGAAACCGTGCGTTTTAATTATCAACGCATGAATTGATGTCGAAAACCATCGAGTTAACAATTTCGAGATCAGTGGGGCAATGTAAATGCTCAAATTGAATAATCGTAACGCCATTTCCAATACGCGTTTTTTCCCTCGCTTCGAAAAAGCATTTTGTAGGAATATATTAGCTTCAATAAAAATAAATGGCTTTTTTATTTGACTTGGCGCAGGGCAGACCGTCTTTTAATATAAAAAATCCGTAACGACATTTTAGAGTTGTTTAGAACAAACAGAACTTAAACGTTCTTAAAAGATTTGTACTTTGATCGCGGAAGGGTTGAAGTAGTTTCGGTCGACGCGGAAGCGATTACAACCAGTTGTAATACGAAACCAGCCGGGAAAGTCTCGCGAAAGCAGAACTCGTTCCTTGAGGACTCGTCGGGTTACGGGGGCGTGTAATCCAAGTCGTATCGCTTGCAGTGAAAATAGCGCGCGCGCATGTGTGTGCGAAAAACGGTTTGAGTGTTAAGTGACACTTTTTTAAATTAACATCTACGTTGGTTTCAGGTATTTCGTACCGTACGTTCACATCGGTAAATTCGTGGAGACGGTGTTCAAAGACGCGGACGGTAAGCTGCCGATCATGTGTATAGGTATCACTTCCGGTGTCGGTCGACTGGTGTTTGGCTACATCGCCGACCTGCCGAGGGTGAACAGAGTTCTGTTGCAACAAGTAAGTCTAGAATCTAATTTTTAAGTGAAATTCAATTAACATTGGAATTTTTGTGATAAAATGTAGGTAGACTTTTAAAAACAATTGTTTTGTGCAATAAACGTGTTAGTTACCTTTGTAGTTAGGAAAAGTAGGGGGAAAATGTTAACTGTACAGAACATCGAAGTTTTGTAGGACACTTTATAAAGTATAATGGACGAAAATTATTAATTGTTTATTAATTGATACAGTTTCAATATTTATTTAATGTTTCAAACAGTTTGGATAAAGCAGCTTTTTATTTTGGAAAGGAAACTTTAATATTATATTTAATTAAATAATATTAAATTCCTTGTTGAAATGAAACCGTGTAATTTTCGTTGATTACATGTTTAATTATTCTGTTTAAAGTTCATTCTTTTATATATAGATGTTTATTTATTAAAAGTTTAATTAACTTGCTTGTAATTATCTTGCGTGTAGATGTAAAAAGTTGGAAAACATTTGTGTAGGGTACACGCGGAAATTCTTTGTTAGATTATTTAGCGCGTTGGAAGCGAACCTGCATAATTAGTATTTAAATTCTCTTTAAATGAAATTTCGCTTCTTTTTTGTTTCAGATATCATTCTTCAGCATCGGCATTCTTACGATGCTTCTGCCTGTTACACCCTCGTTCCTGGTGTTGCTCATCATTTCCCTCGCAATGGGTCTGTTCGATGGGTGCTTCATATCCCTTTTAGGCCCGATCGCATTCGACATTTGCGGTCGAGAAGGAGCAACTCAAGCCATCGGGTTCTTATTAGGCATGTGCTCCGTACCTTTGACCGTGGGTCCGCCCATTGCTGGTCTTCTATACGACCAGACGGGTAAGTGAATCAGTTAATTTATATACTAATCACCTTTTACTCAAACTTCGCATTTACAAGTCGAATAGTTTATCTTATGAATAAAATTGTAATATTAATCGTATAATTCT